AAATCACGAATTAAACCAGTTATAACAACCCCAAGTAAATAATGTGAATACGCGAATACCGTAAAAGTAAAAGGACTTACTAGTAGCGTAACAACATAAAAATCGCCTAAAAAAAGTTACCCCATGCCACTGACATTTACAGAATATATATAAAAGTTTTACAGAATTAACAAACAATACGCTGAGACTAGATGTCAGTGTAAATTACGCACAACATTTAAGTTTCATGGAAGCCCACATAACTGCAAATCGCCACACACTGGTGGTACACAGATAGACCAGCATACAAAACAGAAGCAAGAAATCGATGGAAAACACATACAGGCACTCACTACGGCGCCACAAGATGGCTCCACCGTCGGCAACTGATGTGCAAGGGCCTCCCAGCAGGTGATGTACTCCAAGAAGCCAAAAAATCACCAGGACACATTGCGGGAAAACACTCACCGGATTACAGACACCACAGCAATCACGCGCCAGTAGCTAAGGTAACCGCAGGGGACAGCCATCGGATCGCCAGTAATTGTCGTATAAAGATTGGAACTAGTGAGGTTATGGAAGCACAGTGTAAATAAAGGCGTTTCTTCGAGCACCAGGAGGCCTATGACTCCAGGAAAACAGGTGGGGGGCCTCTCCCAGGCTCTGAGCAGTGGCGTACCTGATAACAACTCCAAAGGAGGTATGAATAAATAAGCCAGGTTTATAAGAGCAGGAGCTCCAAAATAGTACGTGCGACGGCTACGAACCTCAGAGAGAGAGAGAGAGAGAGAGAGAGAGAGAGAGAGAGTGGCATTAGTATACCCATAAGGGAGGGAAGGGCACGTTGAACAGGGCTGCAAAGCGTAGCACCTTAATAATAATAATATTCATCCATTTTAAAAATAAGATTTTCATAGAAATTAAATGAAAAAGGTTCTTATTATTATCCTCTGATTTTTTAATGTCATATAATAACGTTATCTATCTATTTTATAATTTTTAAATGTAGTGTACCAAAAAAAGGTTTCCTTCATTTCTGAATAGCTTCAAACAGGTCGAAAGTATTATATTTTGTTAACAAAAATAGGTCAATTTAATAGCTCAGGTGCTTAACTTTTTCGACTAACGATTTTTTTCATCCTACAGTTTATAGAAGCATCGTAATAAATAATATTAAATTGTATTAGAATGGTGCTAAGCGAGGCACCTCGGGTAGGGCAGGCGTAGCACGGTGAACAGCCATAAAGCTCCTAAGTCAGCTGCGTGGATCGTCTGCTGATTTTGTACCTAACCTCATCCACATGTAAATAATACAAGATGCTTTGATTGCTGACTTGCAATGTTTAGTGATTTACGTAGTTGATTACACTTGATTAATTGTATCAAGTGTGTCTATAAAAATTATAATATGTTAATACATGACAGTTTTATAATATATATACATACATACATACATATTTACATACTTATGTGTATATATACTAAAAGTTATTTTTCACACCATTGTAGTGTTTAATCTNTATCGGTATCACATAAATATAATCGAGAAGAACGGAAAAGTACATATAAAGTTATATATATATATATATCGCGAGAGTCATTTGACCTTTTGGAATCTCAATAAAATATACGATGTCAAGTTTACGTACAGTGTCGTGTATATGTGATACAAGAAATTTGTTCTCAATTTTTGGGATTAAATCTAGGAATCAGAAGAGTTACTTGTGTTGTATGTGAAAAATATAATCCTTAGGAAGTCTAGCTTAGGAAAAATACATCTACACGTTTGTTCTGTTTGTTAAAATATCTCAGATTTTATTCTGTAGATATACTTAGTCACAGAGAAGTGCACTTACATATACTTAAGTAGCATTGAGTGCTGGTGGTTACAGTGTGTCCAACAGTGCGAGTAATCAACCTTATCCCTGAGAAAAGGAAAACATCGTTATTCAATAACTAGACTCGATAAATTTCTATTATACATGAGCAGCGAGAGCTAATAAAAGAAGAAAAACAGTTGTTTTCTGCTCATAGACACCGTTGTCTTTGCATAATTTTTATTTTAGTTTTCTTTATAGTTTAATAATATTATTAATTTCACTATTTAAAATTACAAAATCATTAACTACTTTGGAAGTGAACCATTTTACTTTTAAATAAATTAATATTAACTGTATCATCTAGTTAACATCTAATAATGGAAATAACAAATATGTTGTCACTACTTAATATAGTGAATATTAACTATTTTTAAGTTGTACATTTATAACTTGATAAAATAGTTAATATTTACTTTTGAATTGACTGAGTACTGAATGCCCTCAAATGACTTTTACTATATGATTCTATTGCTTCCTTTACTTACTTATAAAGCACACTAACTGTTTCTCTAGAGCCACTGCTTTTCCGACTTTAAAATGGTTTATTATTTTTTGTGAATATAGTTAAGTTTTTCAATAAATATATCAAGTGTTTTTTGAGTCTCACAGTGGTATTTTGAAACTATATCTAACGCTACATTAGACGTGAAGAACTCTTAATCGACATCTCCTATGTATCTTAAATCGTACACTCTTGTAGACTTATAATTCTTATTTTCTTCACTTTTCTTGAAAATTAACAAGTACCTTATGTTATGTTATACTATGACTTATTTTTATACTAGTCAATGTTAAAAAATTCTGTGCGATCACATTTTTAAAAAATTGTCTATTAATTTCATTTCTTTAGTGACATATACTCATTGTCATCATACATCACTTTACTTATATAGTGTAATTTAGTTGGTAAACATAATTCTCGTGTTGTTTATCATTTCAGATCATGAGATCATTAGTAACACTACTTCTAAAGATGTGAGGTGTATAAAAATCAAGTACTTTTCTGGTGAAAAAATAATTTCAGCGATAAAACTTAGCTTATTTTTTTTATTTCTTGCTTACAGGTATTATGACGATTTATTTTAGTAATGAAAGCATTAAAAGATACTAGGACCTTTGATAGCTCAGTTGCTAAACATCTAGCCTCCAAGTCAGAGAAACTCAAGGGAATATGGATTCGAATCCGATCGAGAAGTATTGAAATTTTTTGTCAGGCCTTTTCGATAGAATGAGCATCTAGGATGCCGGAATACTACTTATCTAATTTTTAAAAACGAAAAGTAAGTTTTTTCTTGATTTCTGAACCTCCAGGGACATTTTTTAGGATGAAATTCTGAAGGAAACTTGCAATGGGCTTGCACAAAAGGTTCAAACTAAGAAAAAAATCAAGAGTCATTAGGAAAAAAAAGGAAAAGGATAGTAGAGGTTAGGAATATTAACATGCGAATAAACCCTCATGGGTAGCAATGGGTCAACGTAAAATTAGATCACTATTCTATACTACTTGAAGACCTTGTACATGACGTGTTAGAAAAACTAAAACAAAATTGAAATGTTGAATATTCACCATAAACGTTGTTTACAGTAGTAAGAAGAATGATATCAAATATTTAATTTTTATCTACAATATGAACCAATAAATAGAGCTGGAGCTGCTCAAGATCTGATGTATCTCTTTATATTGTTTCTAACAAGTGTGTACACAAAGTTTTTTTTAATAAAATGTGGATTCTATGTATAAGGTTTTTTTCGATTTTAAGTTTTTTTTCTCTGTTTTTTCCGTTCCTCTTTTTAGTCGTAGTAGCTAAAAGAAACTAATTAATAGCATTATTTCTAATATGGAAAATTTGCAATAAACAATGTTCTTATCAATTTTATAGTAACTATAATTATTGCAGAATACTCTTTTAAATTAATTTTTGTTACACCATTTGTAAATCAATTTTCTAATATAAACTTCCATTATTCACAAAAAAAAAATTTTTAGTTAGTCTGTCAGTTAAGTTGCAAACGTTGTGAGATGTAGCCATTATGTTGAAAAATTTTTGTTGTTCTTTTATCTCTTGTTAATGGTTTGTGAACGTTTTAAAAAAGATACTTTTTAATCTCACTTCATTCAAACTGCTGTCAATGCTATTGTGAACACTTTAGAGTGTATTTACTAAAAACATATATTTATACTCATACAACACAGAACTTGTACAATTCATTGATTATAAAATAGTTGAAAATAATGACTGGATGTTACTCATGCTTTTTAACATTTATAGTGCTATCTCATTGACTAAATCATGAACTATGGAAGAGGTGTAATATAAAGTTGTTTATTAGGCTATACGGTTGTCAAAACCCTTCTTATCATACATGGATAAATATTTGTATGTCTACTGTTTAGGATATGCTAGTTACAAACTTAGTTTTTGAAACTCCCACAAGTTCTTACGTTATCACAAACTTTGAATCATTAGTATACTGTATAACCTTAATAAAAATAAATTAAATTAATATAAGCAGGCAGATTGTCGGCACCATATCCTAGGTAAGCCAATACAAGGTCAGCACTGTTAGCAGCAGCAATAGCAGCAACACGAGTGCCAACAGCCAGACACAACTTTAAGGAGCAATATGAGTTTTAACTCATTCATTACTAAAATACAATATAACATTCAAATGAAGAAAGTACCGTCCTCGCAAGGGTTTTGTATCCGTGTACCGTATGAGTTTAGAACGGTATGAATCGTAGAATGTCAATTCTTACAAATCCTACAAGCTACCATATTTTTATATGTATGCACACACTAATACTCTACACATTGTTTAAGTAGTTATTAGCATTTCAAAAATATAAGTACGCAAGTTTTTAGCATGATCGGTGGCTGACTATGCAAAAGTGGATCCAATACGTCCATATTCCATCGATGGGTACTATTAGGGAGCTTATTTATGATTTCCCAAAGGCATTTAAGGGTTGATAATTAAATGGCTGGTTCAAAAAACGTTTACAACTTCAATTGTAAAGATAAAGATTAGTAGCATAATATTGTAATCAAGTTGCCAGTAGTTTATAAGAAATCAAATTTATAATTTTAATGTAGTTGTTTGGATGATTAAATTATTGTTCTTCTATGTTATCTCTTGCAGTCGTCTAGCTCCAGAGCCAAAGCTTTTGCCACAGGAGGAAGTGACTTATGCGGAGCCTGTCTTAGTTCCCCAGCCACCAAAACTGCATTCACCAAAGGGCACGATGCGCAAGCCACCGCCCACACCTGCAGAGACTTTATTTCAGTTTCCAGACGGCTACGGTTACCGTGGTCCTAGCACCAGATCAGACAACTTTGGAACACTCCGTAGTCATCAGGGTGATCCCAATGCTTATCGACGTAATGATGGATTTGCAACAACGCGTAGCGTTAAAAAAGTCTATCTCTGAGAAACGAATGAGGAGGGTGGCTGTAACGCTGCAGTGGCCGCTGCACAGGTAGCTGGTCGGCATCGTAGCTTAGGCAGGCCAATCCGAGGTCAGCACCGGCAGCAGCAGCAACAGCACCAGCAGCAGCAGCCAGGCACAACCTTAAGGAGTAATATGAGTGGTAGCAACAGTAACGGAAAATCGACTCAAAGGTCAGCTGGTCACCAGCCTGGTCATAATCAGGCACGCTCTACTCGTGATTTAGCTCAAGGTGCCTTTTCTTAAATTATCATAAAGTTCAAACAAATTATATTTTTAATCATTATAAACGTTGTAGGTGTCAGCCATGGTATCGAGTCGCCATCACCGTCATCAAGCATTTCATCAAGCTCACCGTCACCACCCTCCTCCTCGCCGTCACCGACACTAATGCAACTTGGGAGTAGTAGTCAAGGGGCTCAGGGAAGTAGCAGCATGGTTCAAGGAGAGAATGAGTCACCACCCCCGCCTACACCACCCTGCAGTTTTATTTATCGGTCTTAGTGCTAAGTCCAGATGAAACTATTTGTAAATCCAGTAGCAACCGGTAGCAACGAGTAGTAACCGGTAGCAACCAGAAGTAAGAGCAACATTACAGGTGCTCTCAATTTATAGTCATTTCTCGATTGAAACCATTTCTCGAATCATAACTAGGTCCATTATACTTTATTATAAAAAAAGGTCTCTGAGAAATAGTTTGAACCGAAGAAGTATTATAAATTTAGACCCAATGTCATTGTCAACAGCTACAGTGATTGAGTCGTTGAATACCATTCAATCATAGAACGCTTATCTCCATTAGCATGGTGCAGAAGTAGTCTTAATTTGCTGTGGGGTCATATTTGTGCTAAAGCTACTTGTGATTATCCACAGCAGTGTAATTATTTCTTAAGAAACACACACAAAGTTTAATCTTACGGTTTTTTTTGCTGTGCAGGAAGTTGTTTTTTCACGTGAAGCTTAGTTTGTTATAAAGACAAATTTCTTCAACTGCAAAATTCTTTGTTAAAATTACTGCATAGATGGTTGTAAAAAGAAAATACGTCACTGACTTTGAGCTTTACCGTCATAGAACTATAAGTTTTCTAGTCCATCAGGGTAAAATTTAGCGTAGCTCAAGACATACATTTTATGCTATACGTATAATTACGATTACATTTTGTTTAGTTAAATACAACTCCATTCCTGTAATTTGTGTTTCCCCAAAAATAGCCAGTGAAAAATGTTATGTTTTTTTCAAAATTTTCACACAATTAATATTTATAACTCTGACTTTTTTAATTAATTTTGTAAAATAAATGTGTCATGTCTTAATAAGATACATCTGAACTAAAGAAAATCTACTATTAAACATAAAAAACAGTATTTGTTTAGCTTAATTAAACGATAAGACAACGGAAAATTGGTATAGTTAAAATTAAAACGACAGGGTGTATCAAATTAGCAAGGCCAACACTAGTTATAGATAAATGATGATAACAATAATATAAATAATCTTAATCCTAACAATAATGATTATTATAAAAGTGATAACATAAATTTAAAAATAACAAATAATAGTCGTCAAAATAGTAATGACAATGGTCATAGTATTAATACTAATAGTTTATCATTATTATTATTATTACTCGTGATACTAAACTTTTATTATTTTTAATTATTATTATCTTATTAATCTTATTTATTTTATATATAACTGGGGTGCTCAAAGTACAGGAACAATTTTAAAACCAATTTCTTAGAAACATCTTCTTAAATAAATATCTTTACTAAAATCATGCTGTTTTTTTAAGTTTATGAGGATCTCTCTCTGTGCTGAAGTAAATAGGGATAAAAATAACAAAAACTACCATGCCCAAAACGTATATTTTGGTGTCATTGTATAATATAGTGACTTTTCACAAATATTAAAAGTCATTCTATTCACACTAACACCTACTGTCTCACCCAGTAGGAATTGAAGTTTGAACCACAAAAAGTCTGTAGACGACTAAGCAGTACCAGATTAGTATTCTAGCACAGTAACTATTGTAAGTTTTTTCTCTACTTGTTCCAAACCATAAAAAAATCAGCAATTAATTTGAAGGTCTTGCAAATAAACCAAATTTATATTTAAAAAAAAATCAATTTTTAAATGTCTTCTGTCGAGTCAACAGTACATCAGAACAATAATATAGATGTAGAATTACTTATACTAGACAAATGGAAGATCGTTTTACTATTAATTTTTAAATCAATGAGTACTAAAAAGTTATGGATCACTTACTTATTAATAAAATTTCTCGAATTTTAAAGTACTTTTCAATTTTTTTTTATGTTTTTCAAAATTTTTAACTTTTCCATTTTAAATATACGTACCTTGCGCGTTGATTCAAATGCTAAACAATCATACCTTTGCAAGTCCTCCTGAGAAAACTACATTATACTTTTGACTTATCCTAAGTCAGTTACTTAACACAACTTCTTCTAACTTTTCTGAAAATAATTAGATTTCTTAAAATAGTGCTCCCTTCTTTTTCATTCACGATTATAATATATTATTTCCAGTACTAAAATATTAAAGAAGTCGCTAACTTAGACTGAAACATAATAGTGACTATGAAAATATGTCAATATCGATGACGTTGAATTTGAAATCATTTATCTTAGACGCATAATGTAGCATACTGTATGAAGTAAGCTGAAATAAAATTTCCAGTACTTCGCACTCTTGACATTTAACTATCAATTTATATTTTAAATGCCGTGCCCTCAAAAGAAGTCCAGTAAGCAATAGTTTAATAATAGTTACTTTTGTAACGAAGCTTTTTAAAGCTTTTACCGAACTTTGAAAACATTTTTCTCAAAATTAAACCTAGAATGGATTCCATGTTTGTATAATTTATAATGGTACGTGATACTCTGAAACGAAAGTATCAAACTGTAAGAAAATTTTCAATAATATGATTTTATATTAGCCTTCATTGCTTGGTAAAGAAAATATGTTTTTATACGTAACCAAGCTTCAAGGTTGGGTGGCTTATTAATTGTGTTGATACATATTTTAATTATGTACCATTACTTTAGAGCCATGAAGCATTTTGACTTTAAAAATAGTGACATAACCATTTACCCACTGTAATGTATCAATGCACCTATGTGTACCAGAAAAACATATTAAATCGGCTCTCGTGAAAGAATTAAGAAGCTGAGCATATGCTGTTTAAGCTATAAATTTGTATATACACTCGCATTCAGCCAATGCATAATTAAGAACATTAAATGGCTTGCAAAGGTTTCTTTGAATAACTGAGCTTTAGTGTCATTGAATAAGCTACTAAATCCTGTAAAACTAGTCCTTAAGTGGAAAAAAATTTTCACATGAAATTTTTTACAGGATCGTGCCCAGAATGTCCTTCTGAACATGAAAGTACAAGCTTCCAGTAGGTAACGAAATAAGTCATTTAAACTATTGATTTACAAGTAAATAATTATAGTGATAACAAAATCACTTTCGTACAACTTTGATTACATAATGAATATTAACAGAGAAAACGTCAGTAGAAACTTTTCTCTAAATTTGGAAGATAGTAAGAAAATAACTGATAGATTCAAAATAAATGGTGTTCACAATTTTTACACTCAAAAAATTGTGCAATACATTATTGTTTGTAAAGTCTAAGATATGTTACGCCTTGTTTCAGGCTTTTTTAATAGTATGCTAAGAATAAGCTTAAAACATTATTTTTACAAGGTATTAAATACAAAAAGTTGATTTATTTTTCTTCAGATTTTCTTTGAGTCTAAAAAGTTCATTTATTTAATCAGCCAGAGATCGATGGAACATAATTTTTTAGGAAGAGAGAAACACGTTCAATATGTAGTATAACACGCTCTCTCAATCTCACCCTAAGGTAAAGTACCCAGTAGTTGGACACTTTTGACAGTCGAAATTTTCTTTGCTGATTTATAAAAAACTAACAAAAAATGATGTTCAAAAAAACATTGGATTAATTATTTAAAATTGTTTTCTAATTGTTAGAAAAAAAAATATATCAGGTTAATGAACAAAGAAAAAATTAATATCAAAGAAAAATCATCAAGACCCAGTACTTGGACACCAGTGTCCAGGTACTAGGACCAACATGAGACTTGGGACCAGTAGTTAGATACCCTACATTAATTAAATGGATAGGAGGTTAGGGTAGACCTAAATTTAAAATGCTTTCTCACATCTCTCAACTACTCAATGATTATAATCTTTTTCACTACATGGTATAGTTTCTGGTCATTATTCACCTTTATTTTAGTTTTCAACAGTAACATTAACATGTTATATTCAGTAATAATCAATAATTTTAAGTGTTTTTTACTGTCCAAGTACCAGGTATAGGAAAAATCTTATGTTATCGAATGGAAGCTATTGTTGGACAGAGTTATTTATATTTTTCGATGTGTTTAACTCTGATAAACTCAATAAAAATTATAATAATATACATTTTGCAAGGTAACTTTTGTTAGAAAATAACTTGAACGTTCTATGCCCAACAATAAATTATAATTTTTAGCGATTTCTTCCATGTCCAAGTACTGAGTATAGGAACACTCCTGTTATTAAAGGGATCTATTTTTGGACGTGGCATTATTATGTGTTGATGGATTATAAATAAATTTTTTTTTCCTATTTGAAAACGTCTTTTTTTCGAAAATGTTAATTATATTGGACTGTCCAACTACTGGTGCTATTTTTATTTCTGTCCAACTACTGGGTACTTTACCTTAAGTGTTCTGGTAATAATTAGGTAAATCTGAGTTTAAATCCTGTGCTCATAACATTAAACTTTTTTTTCTTACGTTCAAATTACTCGGCTACCAGTGCTATGTAACATTCATTAATAAAGAGAACAAAAAAATTTTCAGAAGTTATAAGAAATAAGATATTTGCACAAAATGAATAAGTAATGCTAGTTTAAGTATGAGAATGTTTGGCCCCAAACTCTGCTGCCTGCAGCGCAGCCATCTTGGCGTCTCAAATGTATATATATACAAATACATATACATATCTACTATTCTTGTATGTATTTGAAAATATATGTGTACAGATACAGTCATGAGCCTTATATGACTGTATGCTGAGCAGCCTCGACTAAGTCGAGTCGACTTATGTACGTGCAAACAATGACGTGACGGTTATCATTAAGACTAAGACGGTCAACACAATACCTATATATATTTTAGACGCCATGATGGCTGTTCTGCAGCAGTGCTGCAGGTGGCAGAGCTTGAGGCCAAACATTCTCACTAAAAATGCGTGTTTTTTTTTTGCAAGATTTTTTCTAAAAAAAGAAAGAAATTGCCATTAATCCTTCGCCAAAAGTGAATATGTTTAGTTTCTTGTTATAAAAATACGTTACTATAAAATTATCTTCATAGGCTGCAACTATGATGTAAGCAGGCTTAACTATGGAAAGGGCTTGTTGCTA